ACAGGCATGAGCTACCACACCTGGCTAATTTTTGGTTTATTGTAGAGACGAGGTCTCGCCAAGTTGCCCAGATGGGTCTCGAACCTGTGGGCTCAGGCAGTCTACTCGCCTCAGCCCCCCAAAGTGCTGGGATTACAGGCTGAGCCACCGAGCCCAGCCTCATTTTTAATATTTAAAGGTTGTTTTGTCTGATATCAAGATTTCGACTGCTGCCTTCTTTTATGATCCATTCGTCTGGAAACACGTTTTCCATCCTCTCAGTCTGTGGGCATCACTTGTGGTGAATGAGTGTCCTAGATACAGCAAATTATTGGGTCATGGTTTTTTATCCAGCTTGTCATTCTGTGTCTTTTTAGTGGTGCATTTAGTCCATTCACATTCAGGCTGATTATTAACATATGATTGTTTATCCTTGTCATAAGGGTCTTATAAAGTCTTTTCTTTGTTTTCTTTATTTTTGGGGTTGATATATGTGTGTGTTTTCAAATTTGCAGTTGTGATGTATTCTCTGTTGATTCTGTGTTCTGCTGTTCTCTTGGGAAGTGCATGGTCATTGTTTCTGTTTTTTTCTTTCTTCTGTGCTTAGCATCTTTTTAAGCATCTCCTATAGAGCTGGTCTGGAAGCTGCATAATATCTTAGGGATTGGATGTCTGGGAAGGATTTTAATTCTCCATTGCTGATGAAGCTGAGCTTGGCTGGGTAGGAAGTTCTTGGTTGAAATTGTTTATCTTTGAGGACTTTGAATATTGGACTCCAGTCCCTTCTAGCTTGTAGTGTTCTGTCAATAGATCTGATTGGTTTTCCCCAGTAGGTAGTCTGATCTTTCTCTCTTGCTGCCTTTAGGATTTTTTATTGTGCCTACTTTGTGTAGTTGAATTACTGTGTGTCTACGGGTTGGTCTTCTCATTTGATGTCTTGTGGGGATTCTCGGTATCTCTTATGTTTGGGTGGTCACATCTCTGGTGAGATGGGGAAAGTTTTCTTGGGTAAGCTTCTGGAATACTTGCCCCAAGTTCTCCATTTCCCCTTTTTCTTCTGGGATGCAATCAGACATAGGTTCAGCCTCCTGGTATAACTGCAGATCTCTTGGAGGCTTTGTTCTTTCTTTCTGAGTTTTCCTTCTATGTTTTTTACAAACTGGGTTAATTCCATGTTTTGGTCTTCAAATTCTGAGATTCTTTCTTCTGCTTGATTATTCTGCTTTCCATGCTTGTTATTTATTTATTTTATTAATTCTGCTGTCCATGCTTGTCATCTTGTTATTTATTTCCTGAATGAAATCTTTTATGGCCAAAATCTCTGTTACGAATTCTTTCGGTGTTGCATCTTGTCTTTCTGGAGTCTTATTCACTCTTTCCAACCATTCCTTAATCCCTGTTGTATTCTGGGGCCAGTCATTGGTGGCTTCCATTGTTTGGACTCTGAGGTCTGATTTTTCAGGTGTTTTCTCTTTGTAACACTGAGAATTACTTATGTTCCTCTGTTGATTTTTCCTCATTTGTGACAGATCTCTTTCTTTTCTCTTTAGTTCCATTATTCAGTGGTAGTGGGAGAGGTTTTCACTTCTGATGGTTGCTCAGCCCTCTGTTCTTCCCTGATCAGGGCTCTGAATTTGTTCTATATTGAAACAGATAACAACAAAGCAAAACAAAAAACAATAAAAACAGGAAAACAAGACACACACACACACACACACACAACCCAACCTAAAATGAAAGAAGAAAAAGATAAAAAGAAAGGAGAAGAAATAAAAGGAATTCAAATCAAACTCTCACACATATTCACACACACATTGAACTAAAAAAAAGAACAAAACAGCAACAAAAAAAACCTGAAAGACGAACACTCAATCCTTCATGTAAACACTTAAACAGAAAACAAAAAAATGAAAAGGAGAAAAAAAAGAAAAAGAGGGTAGGGGGATGCAGATCGAACCCTCACATACATATTCATGCACAAAGGAAAAATATTTTAAAACAAGTTTTTAAACCCTGCCCTCTTGTGGCAGGTTCTGTAATTGTGTTCCTCTCAGCTGCCCCTCTGTTGTCTCCTGCAGAGCTTCCGCCTCATTCAGTCTCCCCAGTGTCTGGCCAGGGAAGGAGGCGGAGGGGTGGAGATGGGTGGGGCTTCAGTCCTTCCCTCCCACTTTAGTATGGTCAGGGGGATCCCCTCCAGTAGGGAGGAGGTGCGAGATTTCTCTTCCCCGGGGAACTGGGAGGGATGCCCCAGCCAGGCCCATCCAGGAGTGGAGTCCTCCTATTGTGGCTGGTGTCCAGACTTTGCCTAAGTTTGTCCCTCTCAGTCATGCCCCAGTGGTATGAGTCTGATGTTCAGTAGGTCAGCCCCAAACTCACCACTGATCTCTTTGGAGGTCACCATCATCCTTTTCTGGCCACACCCTTTGTCCTGTGGCTGAATCAGGGTAGGGGGGGGAGCGCCTGAGACTCAGGACCTGCCCTGTCCCTCTGGAGTTTGTGCTTTCAGGATGTTCCCTCTGGGTCACAATCAACCCCTAGAAGTCCATCTGCCAGTCACAGAGATTGGGTCGTATCTGCCGCTCCATGGTGAGCAAGCCGGAGCACTTTCCTGCCCAGTCTTCAAGATGGTGGCAGGGGCCTCTTTCATCCTCTCCAGTGGGTCTCTGTCTCTGTGCTCCCTCTGCAGCCTTTGCTGCCCGAGTCTGGCCAGGTGCTGCGGTGGTGGGGCGGAGCCTGGAGCCAGCAGTATCTCCTGGCAGCTTCTTCCCGGGAAGGGCTGTGTTGAGTTTTAAAAAATGGCGCTCACTTCTGTGCCCTGGGAAGCACTAGGGACCGAGCAGAGCTGCTGTGGCACCAACTGCTTCACCAGGAGCACCCTGGCCACTTGCTCCCGAGTCCCTACACAGTCAGCCACTCACACACCCGTTTACTCACTGATGTACACACAAAATTTTCCATATACTCGCTCATTCACACTGGGACTCGCTTCGTCCGACTGGCTCTGCCACCAACTTCCCTGGAGCCCCTCAGTGGTTTTCTTTTTATTTCCAATTCTTTGTTATTAGTAGTTAGAGATGAAATCAATTTTGCATATTGGTCTGGTATCCCGCTCTTGCCATAGGGGAGGGGTCAGAAGCCGTGTGTTCAGGAGCAGGGACAGGTGTGGGGTCAGGACGCTGCTCCACGTTTTGAGAACCACGTTTTGAGAACCACAGCCTTGGAGGTCCCCACTGTGTCCCAAGCTCCTGTTGTCCTTTCCTCTTGCCCTTGCTGAATTCCCTTACAGTGCTAGTCACTTTTTGCACAAACCTCAGGAATGTGCGTAAACAATCAGGTCATCTAGCCAGGCTTGGTGGCTCAGCCTGTAATCCCAGCACTTTGGGAGACTGAGGTGAGTGGATTGCCTGAGCCCACAGGTTCGAGATCCGCCTGGGCAGCTTGGTGAGATGTCATCTCTACAATCAAAAATCCAAAATTAGCCAGGAGTGGTAGTGCACGCCTGTAGTTCCAGCTACTTGGAAGGCTGAGGTGGAAGGATCCTGGAGCCGAGCAGGTCAAGGCTGCGGTGGCTGGGAGCGGCCACTGCACTCCAGTCTGGGCGACAGAGTGAGACTCTAACTCCAAAAAAAAAAAAATCAGGTCATCTGTGAACAAAGACAGCTTTACTCCTTCCGTTCCAATCAGGATGCCTTTTGTCTCAGTCGTTGTATCCTGGGATTTTAACTTATGGAGTGATGATACAGATGGGCTAAAGCCTTTGAAAGAAGATTTTTGTTACTTACATTTGCCGAGAGGAGGGGGCATACCATGCCACACAGGGCCACACGGGAAGCACTATGTGGGTCAGGAGGCAGGAAGGAGCCACTGGAAAGCACAAGCCACAGCTTTTATGGTATTTTCTCTGGGAAAAGCAAGGCAGGGCAGGAGAAACACGCCGGGATTCGCTGGTTTCATACATCTGGCAGGCTTTCAGGCAGAGGAGCTGGCCCTGGTGCCAGGCCCACGGTTGCTTAAGAGCAAGAAAAATGTTGGCTTGGTGTGTAAGGGTTAGGACAATGGAGGTGCTTCAGTCCTGGTGTGCTTGCCTATGAAAGGCAAATTCTCTGAGAACTGACTAGCCCTGGCCAGGCACAGTGGCTCACGCCTGTAATCCCAGCACTTTGGGAGTCCAAGGCAAGAGGGTTGCCTGAGTCCAGGAGTTCGAGACCAGCCTGGGCAACACGGTGAGGTCTTGTCTCTACAGTAAATTTAAAACTTAGCCAGGTGTGGTGGCTCTTGCCTGTAGTTCCGGCTCCTCAGGAGGCTGAGGCAGAAGGATCCTCTGAGCCCAAGAGGTCAAGGCTGTGGTGAGCCATAATCGTGCTGCTGTACTCCAGCCTGGAGGACAGACTGAGACTACAACTCAAAAAAAACCCACAATTGACTAGCCCTGGAGTCAGTGAGACACAGATGCCAGATTCTAAGAATGCAGAAAATAAAGAAATATAGGCCGGGCGTGGTAGCTCACGCCTATAATCCCAGCACATTGGGAAGTCAAGGTGAGAGGATTCCCTAAGCCCATGGGTTCAAGACCAGCCTGGGCAACTTGTCGAGGTCTCATCTCCACAATAAATAAAAAAATTAGCTGAGTGTGGTGCCACATGCCTGTAGTTCCAGTTCCTCGGAAGACTAAGTCAGAAGGATCCCCTGAGCCCAGCAGGTTGAGGCTCTGGTGGCTGTGAGGATGGCACTGCACTCCAGCCTGGGCAACAGAGTGAGACTCCAATTCAAAAAAAAAAAGAAAAGAAAAATAAATATAGACTTTATCATTGACCCTGGGATGAATGGACACCAAATACACCAACACAGAATCTAAGAAAACATGGGACACATTTCTTTTCTGGCCTTAAAGCACTGACTGGAACCTCCAGTACAGTGAAGAGATGCAGCGAGAGCAACGTCTCTGCCTTCTTCCGCTCTTAGGGGGAAAGCAGGAACCGGGTGGCGTGCCCAAGGCTCTAGGGGCCAGGACAGGGACGGGCATGGCCGGTGAGGAAAGAACGGGTAGCGGAGAAACCAGGGGCATCTGAGGCAGCGGCTCTCCAACTGTGGCGCAGGGTCCTCCCCCACGACCCCACCCGCTCCTGAACACCCTGTGTCCTACCCTCCCCCATGGCCACCCGCCGGGCCAAGGCGCTGCATTTAGGTTCTGTCCTCCTCTGAACCACAGAACCCCATTCCTTCCCACCCTCCTCCTCTAGGTAGCTCAGCAGGGTCTCCTCCAAACCACGGGGCCGTCCAACCTCCCAAAAGCCCCTGGGTGAGGGAGCCACAGCTCCAGGCTGACTCCCAGGCCCTGTCACCACTGTTGAGGGAAGGGAGGAGGAACAAGCCCGGGAGACCCCAGGGAGATCCCACCAGGCCCAGGGCCCTGAAAATGGCATGAATGTGCTCCTTGCATCTTAGACCACGCGTGGCAGCATGTGCCCCGTGAAAGCTACCCAGAGGCTGTTTTTGAAAGTCCTCTGGGCCCCCAGCTGCCGGTGGTGCCCTGGTGGGGGTTGAGCCCCCTTCTTGGGCGCCAGGCCAACAGGTGCCTTTCCAGCCAGGTCCCACAGCTCCCGGGGCGAGGCGGGAATGGAACCAAGGGTCAGTCCTCAGGCGGGGCAGGCCGTACTCTCAAGGCCCTGGCCGGACACCCTTGTTCTCTGCTGGGACCAATTCAGGCCAACACCCCATGACTCAGCTTGCCCGAGAATAAAGTGGAGATAACGTGTCTGCCACAGAATGTTGTGAAGCTGAGAATGAGGTGTTGAGGGCTTGGCTCAGATAAAGGGGTTCTGTGAACATGGGGAACCAGTTGTTCTCAGGCCTGTGAGGAGCGAAGTAAAAGCAGATGCAGGGGGAGGGTGGGGCCGCCTGGGTGGCCCTGGGGAGGACAGAAGAGATTGCTGGAAAGAGGGAAGCAATAGAAAAGGGAAGCCTGTCTCTGCTTGCTTCTACCTCCAGAAGACTGACGCCACTTCCTCTGGTGGAACCACAGCTTTCTGACACCGTGGTCCACTCAGTAAGCAGCTGCCACCTCATCCTGGGGAGGGATGGGCAGAGCCCCCTAGGAAATGAGCCCTGGGGGTCCCCAAACCTCCCAGCCCCCAATCTCTCGCCCATTCGCCACCAGGCAAGGCTGGCAGTTCCCTCCAGGGGAGACGGTCCCGGGGACTGTGTGAGGGTTCCTCACTGCTGCTCATGTCCCACTCAGTCTAAGGAAGGTTCTGGATAAGCCAGGGGTTCTCACCTCTGGGGCTTTATGAAAATAAACCTCCCGGGTTTACGACCTGAGTTTCTGTCCTCAGAGGCTGAGGCCTAGGCCTGGGTTCCCCCACGCCGTCAGCCAAGGCTTCTACTCACAGTGGGGGCTCCATGGACGCAGCAGGACTGTATTTCCAGGACGGGGCCACCACTGGAGAGTCACCTGGCCCGGGGCAAGAATTCCTAAGCCTCAGTTTCTTCCTCTGTAGGGTGGTGAGGGCAGAGGCAACCCTGCAGACCCCGTCTTGTGCTCTGGGAGTTGGGGCGTGGCCTCCTGAAGAACCACTCGCTGGGTAGGCGGGACTGTCAGCCCACCCTCACCCCTTACCTACAGGAAGGACGCGGTCCCTGCACCAAGGGAACAGGCAGTGTGGGAGGGAACGGCCAGGAGACTCCCTAGGAGCCCCTGTCTGGCAGAGAGAGAGCAAACTGGGGGGTTTTCCTGCTGAGGCTGGAGGCTGGAGGTGTGTGGCTCCCATCATCTCTCTCCTGGCTTTTGATCTCTAAAAGCCAGATCAAGGTGGATGGCTGGGCAGAGACTCATGCCTGCTTTTCCTCTGGCTGCCACAGCCTGCACTAGTGCTGAACAGATTTCTCCTGAAATGAGAGCGAGATGGAGTTTGGGAGAAACTCAGAGAATGAGAGAACAGGGGAGAGAAAAACAGTAAGACTGAATGAGGTAGGGAGAAGGGCAGGAGAGAGGGAGAGAGAGAGAGAAACTAAGAGACAGAGAGAGAGCGCGTCTCCACAGAAGATGCTGAGAGAGCGGCAAGGTAGGGAGTCCTGCTGGGAGAGGGGAGGTTCCAGCCAGACGAGGTCAGGCCCAGGCCTCTCGGTGGGGAGACGGAACCGGGGGGCCTGTGCGCAGAGCTCACTTGCCCCTGACTCCAAGGGAGGGCCTTTTGCAATGCTGGAAAAGAAGAAGCCCGTCTGAGAAAGGAAGTGCCGGTCACTCTGAAGGCGTGGAGGTTCGGGGAGGGCTCCCACGCTCCTCCGGCCTCTGAGGCAGCCTGACCCTGCCGCCCGGACGCCTCCCCGACTCCGGTGAACCCCCAGACGCCCCCCACAGGGCCTCCCCTCCTGCCTCGACAGCTCCGCCTGCCCCTGGCTGCCCTGGAGGTCGGCACGGCCATGGCTTGGCCCCTGCTGCTGCTGTCCCTGCTGCCGTCCCTGGCGCTGCAGGCGGGTGAGTGCCCAGGACGCCCGGGTGGGGGCTCTGCCCAACCGCGGGAGGGGCCGCCAGGGGGGCAATGGCTGGGCATCGGGAGGGGGGTCTGTTGGAGGAGCCGGCCGAGCCTCCCACCCAGCCACCGAGGGGCTGGTCCACAGGGGTGGGCTCACCCATCCCTTCAGCCTCTCGCCTCCCAATGCCCAGGCCACGGGGTCAGTCCTACCAACTGTCACGTGCCGGCCAGGAGGCCCAGGTGTGTCTCCTCCTTGTCCCCCCGGGTGGCTTCAGAGTCTCCGTTCCCTCTCCTCCCTCCCTCCTCCAGGTGGCTCAGCAGTATCTCCTGGAGACTACGGGATCAACCAACCCAAACACCTCTCAGCCCCTGTGGGTGGCTCCATCGAAATCCCCTTCTCCTTCTATCATCCCTGGGAGTTAGCCGAGGATCCCAAAGTGGCTATATCCTGGAGACGGGGGCACTTCCACGGGGAGTTCTTCTACAACACGACCCCACGCTTCACCCACAAGGATTTCAAGAACCGGCTCCGTCTGAACTGGACACAGGGTCAGGAGAGCGGCTCCCTCAGGATCCGGAACCTGCGGAGGGAGGACCAGACTGTGTATTTCTGCCGAGTCCATCTGAACACAAAGACCGAAGGCAGGCAGACATGGCAGATCATCGAAGGGACCAACCTCACCATCACCGACGGTGAGTCCAGACGCCGGCACCCTCCTCGCACCCTCCGCGGAGGCTTTTGCTGAGCCCTGGGGTCTCCACCGCCTCAGGCCCCCCTCCTTCTGACCCCTCAGACCTCTCCTGACTCCCTGGCTCCTCCCAGGACTCTTCCAACTTCACTCTTGTCTTCCCCTTGACCGTTCTCAAACCCGAGTGGACCATGCCCCTCCCCCGCCTCCGGACCCAGCCCCATCCCTCTCCTCAGCCCTCAGCACTGCCAGACCCTCCAGCTGTCCTCCACTCTGGTCCCAGCTGGGGCTCCAGCCTGCTCGCCACCTGCCCTCGCCCGTGTCCTCAGGTGGTGTCGACCGCTGCGGCTGCGGCGGGCCTCCTGTCCCGGGTCTGTGTGTGGAGTCCCTGTGGGCACCTCCGGGTGAACACCATACTCGTGTCTCCCCACCGTCACGATCTCACTCCGGAACACACAGCGGGGTCCAGCGGACGGGCCTAGGCGTCCTCCCCGGGTGATGCTCCATCACATCTCACACTTCCTTCTCCCTGTTTCTCCCCCGACTCCTCCGCTGCACCAGTCTCATCTCCTTCCCGTCTCCCTCTCCTGCCTCCACCCTCTTCACCCCCCTGCCTCTTGGCCCCCTCGACCACTCTCCACGCAAGCCCCTGTGCTCTTCCGGCCACGTTGTCCCTGCTCCCCACCCTGATCTTGCCGCTCTGTCCTTGGCCACTGAGAGGCGCCTCTCCGCAGCGGCAACCACAGCGGCTCTCCCTCACTCAGTGCGTACCACGGCCCCAGTAAATAACCTTGTGTGCACTGCCCTGTGATAACCGTGGGCACTGCTATTGTCTTCATTTTCTAGACAGGGAAACTGAGGCTAGCAGAGCCTAAATGCCTGCCGCAGTCACACTAATGTTGCAAATGGGATTTTAAAGAGAACCTAACCGCAGCACTTTCTCCACCATTAGCTACACAGCCTCGCCTATCAAGTTGGTCATACTGTTTGTCAACCGGCTTTTTAGTCTAATAATGTGTTGTATTAATAGGTTTTCCTGTATAGTCAGAATTTGAACCTAGGTTAATCTGTATCCAGAGGTGGGGGGTTCTCGCCCAGGTTCAGGCAATAAGGGGTACACTGTACAAAATGATTTAAACTGAACATTGATTGAGTGGGTTTGCTTTTTCTAAAAAACTTGCACCGGCAATTCTAAACCATGTCAGTGATACATCACGCCTCCCTGGTGGGAAGGATACTCTCACTGCCTCTGCCCCATCTTAACCACTGTGCTGTTTTAGAGCAACGGTTCCACACCTGAACTAAGCAAGACAGCCTGGGACTTCTGTGTCCCGGCCCACCCACACGTTTCCTTCCCTGGCCTGTTCTGAGAGTGTTTGGTTCTTCTCAGTCCCTCTTTCCCTTTCCCTGATTCTCCTTGCTTTTCTTACTTCTCCATTTCAGTTAGATTTATGAGTTTTTTCACTAATGAATTATGTTTGCAATTGACATTAGTTTTTTTATATAATTTTTTTTGTAACCAAATCTAACCATATTCTCCTTTGTAATTTTTCTTTTTTTTAATCTCTAAGCACAAAAACCCTACCTCCCACTAGAGGTTGAAAATATTTACATGTGCCTTCTTACTTTTTTTCTATGTTTTATATGATTTGAGTTCTTCCACAACAAAACTCTTTAATGTAGTAAGAATTTATTTTAGCATACAGCATGAAGTAAACAACTAAATTTATATCAAGCAATTAATCAATTCTCCTAACTCCATTTATTGAATTTTTTTTCTACTTCTCTATTGATACAGTAAACCTGGTTTTTAAGTTCTTTTTTATAATAGCATTCATTCCTGGTCAGTCAGTTGTGTTCCACTGATCTGTTTTTTCTTATATCAGTACACATTGTTTTAGTGATTGTAACTTTATCACATGTTTCAAAGCCGATAAGACTATTTCCGTCTTAACTACATTACTCCTTCCTCAAAAACTTAATTATTGTTGCCCACCTATTTCTTCATATAAATGTCAGAATAAATTTATCAAATCCTGAAAAAACATTCACTGGGATTTTTAAAATCACAATTGCTATGAACCTATAAAGCAATGGGCAGAAACTGAAATCAGTCTAATACAATATCTTCTCACCCAAGAAGGGGTCCTATTTTGTATCCCCCTTGGGAGTATTCTGCTAAAGATTATGTAAATGTCTTATAGGATTTTTTCTCTATATATTCTGTATTTTTATTAGTAAAGTACAATATCTTTTAAAATTTTTATAATTGTCATTATAAAAATAATGCATAAGTCTGGCCAAGATGGTGGGTTATATACACACATTTACCTCCACTCCCTCCCTAAATCTACTAAAATGATAGCAACAGGAATTTTTAAAGAAAGAAATCCTTAAGAACAAAAAATATGGCACTGGGTGTACAAAAACAAAATTTGGGAAGGTAGAAACAGACTAATGGAACTGACTCTGGAGACAAGGGCAGCTAAACTCTAAGCCAGTGGCAGGGAAACCCGGAAGAGTGGCGATTTACACTGCAGACTCCCTTAATGGTTCGGTAATGCCAACCCCGAGCACCCCTGAAAATGAGAGTGAAGATGGGTCTAAGAATCAGAGGACACTGAAAATCTCCTTCAAAGGCATGAAACCTCCCTTCCCCATTCCCCTGCACTAGCCAAAGACAGGAGGTCTGCTTTCCAGAACAGATAAACCAGAGGGACTCTGGAGGGAGCACCCTAGACATAGCTGGCAAGGAGTTTGGGGTCCGGTCCTCACATCAAACCCCTGCACTGAGCACTGTACCCTGGCCTCAGCTGTACCTAGGAAGCCCAGAGCTAGAGTTCCCATTTTAAAATATGATTAAATGAAACAAAAAAAGCTTCTCATGAAATGCAGAGAGCAAAACAAACATGAAAAAAAGGTGGCGGGGAGGACCTGGAAGAAACAAAAACAATTCAAGGAGAATAAAAGTTTAAAATAAAAAATTCAGCCGGGCTCGGTGGCTCAGCCTGTAATCCCACGCCTTTGGGAGGCTGAGGTGAGTGGCTTGCCTGAGCCCGCGGGTTCGAGACCCGCCTGGGCAACTTGGTGAGACCTCATCTCTACAATAAATCACGCATGGTAGCGCGTGCCTGTAATTCCGGCTACTCAGAAGACTGAGGTAGAAGGATCGCCAGAGCCCAGTGGGTTGAGGCTGCGGTGGCGGGGAGCGGCCACTGCACTCCAGTCTGGGCGACGGAGTGAAACTCCAACTCAAAATAAATAAATAAATAAAATAAAATAAAATAAAAAATTATCTTCTATTCGGGAAGTTAAGAGACCTTAGGCATGTGACAAGAAAAGGTGCTTTACAAAGGACCTTGTCAAACACAAAAAGAGCTCTTGGAAATATAAGATATAATAGCAAAAGTGGAAAATTCCATACAGGAATTGAAAGATAAAGTTTGCAAAAACGTCCCAGAAGACAGAACAAAAAGGTCAAAGGCTTAGAAACTGTAGCAGCCCCCCAAAAGATATGTCCACATCCTAATCCCCAGAATGTGTTAATATCATCGTATAAGGCAAAAGATCGAATATGACCTTACATGGTCACAGATGTGATTCAATTAAGGATTTTGAGGTAAAGAGGTTATCCAGGATTATCTGGGTGGTCCCTAAATGCCTTCACAAGTATCCTTATAAGAGAAGCAGAGGGAGACTTGGCCCAGATGGAAGAGAAGGCGGTGTGACCACAGAGGCAGATATTGGAATGAAGCGGTCACAAGTCAAGGGATGCCTGCAGCCACTGGCTGGAAGAGGCAGCAGATTCTCCCCTAAAGCTTCCAGAGGGAATACACCTCAGCTGACACCTTAATTTTGAACTCTGGCCTCCAGAACTGTGAGAAAACAAACTTCTGTTAGTTTATATCATCTCATTTGTGGTCATGTGTTACAGCAACCTAGAAAAGTAATACAGAAATGGTAAGAAAATTAAAGGCTCCAACCTCTGAATAGCGGGAGTTCCAGAAACACAGAAGAAAGAAGGCCGTGGGGAAGAGAGTGTCAGAAATAATGCAGCAATTTTCCAGAACGAAAGAACCCAGTAAAATGGGCAAAAAAAAAGAGACCTATATCAGGGGACAACACCACAAAATTTCAAAACACTAGGGGTAGAAAGATCCACACGATTTCCAAGGAGGAAAGAAACTGGACATAGATTCAGGGACTAGAAGGGTTGTTGCTGTCTCGATATCAACACCAGAAGATGGAAAATAACGGTCGAATGCCTTGAAATCCCTAGGGAAAGTTATTTAATTCATTCACTTAACAATTATTGACTGAGTGCCTCCTTTACGTCAGGTGATAATTTGAACACAGGGGAAACAGACATTAAAATAAAACAAAAATACACCCAACAGTGGAATTTACTTTTTTTTTTGAATCAGGGTCTCTGTCTCCCAGGCTGGAGTGCAGTGGCATGATCACGGCTTACCACAGCCTCAGCTTCCTGGGCTCAGTCAATCCTTCCCGAGTAGCTGGGACTATAGCACACACCACACCTGGCTAATTTTTTTTTTTTTAATTTTGTAGAGCAGAGTGAGTCTCGCTGTCTTGCTGTTCTCAAACTCCTGTGCTCAAGCCTCCCAAAGTGCTGGGATTACAGGCATGAGCCACTGCACGTGGCAGAATTTACTTTTAGTTGTGGGAATAAATAAATGAATAAATTATGTACATGTGTGTCAGGTGATGGTGAAAAGAGAAAAGAAAAGTAAAGCAGAATAAGTGGGAAAGAGATTGCTAAAGGTGTTACTTTATACAGATGGAACAGGGGCTGGGTGTGGTAGCCGATGCTTATAAGACTTCCACTCAAAAGCAAAAGATAAAATCTAAAAACGGAACAAGGAAGACCTCTGTGGCATTAGGCAGAGTTCAGCAGAAAACAGTCATTCGAGTGTGGTCACCAGGGAGACTTTCGAGTCAGGCACAGTTTAGGAAATGAATCAGAGATGAGGAGATACCCAGAGACCTCCAACAGGCCTGAGGAGCAAGGGGAGGGGACCCAAAGAGAACCAAAACGTGGACGAGGAGCTGTGGCCTCTAGAGAGATACAGTCAACGTGCCCACCAGGAGGCGGCCTGGAAATGAATGCCTGGACCTGTTCTCTCACCCCTCCATCTCACCCCTGCCAGTGGCTCCCGTTGGCCATTGATTAGGAAACCAGAGGGCAAGAGAGGCAGCTCCGAAGGTACAAATCAGGGCAGAGAAGAGCTGGGAAGTGCATCTGGAGAAGCCAACAGAAAGATCTAGCCCAGGCACAGATCTGCAGGACGTGAGGGAGAGGCTGGGAGAACGTTCCAGTAAAGTGGGACAAGTGTGGCTGAAGCAGAGGGAAGAGGCAGAGGTTGGCAGGAGGTGGGTCAGATCCCGTGTGGCTTTGAAAGCCTTGGAAACAACTCTCACTTTCACTCAGTGCGATGGAAGCTCAGGGTTTTTTCTGCAGAGGAGTGCTGAGATCTGATTTACACTTTAAAAGGATCCCTCTGGAGAAAAAAAAACACAACAAACTCTAGGTAAGTGAGGTCAGAAGCAGGGAGACCAGTGAGAGATGATGTGGCTTGGCTTAGAGTAAGTAGAATGAGGGCAATGGAGGAGGCGAGAAGTGGCCAAAATTGGAGATATATACATAAAACCGGTTTTTGGATTTTTTTTTTTGAGTTGGAGTCTCACTCCGTCGCCCAGGATGGAGTGCAGGGGCATGCTCACAGCCAACCCAGCATCCACCTCCTGGGCTCAGGCAATCCTTCCGCCTCAGCCTTCCAGTAGCCAGAACTACAGGCACACACTACCCCACCTGGCCAATTTTTTTATTTATTGTAGAGATGAGGTCTCATCAAGTGGCCCAGGCTGTTCTCGAACCGTGGGTCTCCCAAAGTGCTGGGATTATAGGCTTGAGCCACCGCACCCGGTCTGGTTATATTTTTAAGACAGAGGAAACAGGATTTTCAGAAGGAATGGATGAGGGGATGCGAGAGACCCAAGGAGGACCCTAAAGTCCTTGACCTGAGCATCTTCAAGGCTAGAGATGCCACACACTGAGGGTGGGAAATAGGGAGGAACAGGTTTGGGAGGAAATCGAGATCTCTGTTTTAGACCTCTTAAGTTCAAGCTGTTACTAGACATAAGAATTAAGGCATGAGGAGGCCATAAAATATGAGTCTAGTGTGCAGGGGGGACGTTGGCTGGATATATGCATTTGGGAGCAATCAGAATGTCACTGGTATTTAACGTCACAGACTAGACGAGATCATCTGAGAAGTGAGCATGGGTAGAGAAGAGGTCCTGGGACTAATCTCTGTCTTCAGGGTTGGGAAGATAAAGAGGAATCAACAGAGAAGACGGAGAAGGAGCTGAGAGCTGAGAGAACCAGAGGAGAGTGGTGTCCCAGAAAACAAGTGAAGGACTCATTTCATGAAAGGGGGAGTACCCAATGCTGAAAAGTGGAGTAAGGTGAAAAAAATGGTGGTGTAAGATCTAAATTCCCAACTTCAACAGCAGGAAGTAAATAGATATCACCTTAAACAACCAAATCAAACAGCAGTATACGCATGGTCTTTAGAAGTTAGTGCCAAAAGGTATAGCTAAAGTTGCTGCAAATAGTTGCCTCTGAGGAATGGGAAGGGAGTGAGAAGGCGTGCGCTGCGGGGCGGCTGTCTAATAAGCTGTGTGAAATCTGTTGACTCTAAATTATGTGCTTATACAAGTTTGATTTTTAAAATGATAAATTCAAAAACTAATAAAAGTACTGGTAATACTTGCACATAATTTTAAAAGTTCCAACAATGCAGAAGGGAGTCAAATGAAAAGTAATATTCCCTCTATCCACTTTCTCTCTCCAGTCACTGCTACTTTCTGTGGAAATGTTCTCTCACAGATGTAAGTATGTACCACAAAGAGAAAGTACATTCTCTTCTGCCCTACAACTTGCTATTTTTTCTTAAAATAACTGAAATACCTTTCATTTCAGTATATATACATCTATCACTTTTTTTTTTTTTTTGAGTTGGAGTCTCACTCCGTCACCCAGGCTGGAGTGCAATGGCACGCTCACGGCCACCCCAGCACCGACCTGCTGGGCTGTGGCGATCCTTCTGCCTCAGCCTTCCAAGTAGCTTGGAATCTTAATGAAAGTTAGTTCTTTAATAGCATTCTCAATTTCTTCTTTGTCTACTGATCAGTTCAAGTATACTACTTCTTAAATCAATTTTTTAAATGCTTGTTTCCAAAAAATCACCCATTTCACAGAGATTTTTAAGTTTATCAACCTACAGTTGAGCATATACTTACTCATGATTTCAACAGACTCTTTTTTGTTGTTAGATGTGCTCTTTTTGTCTATCTTCTTGTTCATTTCTCTTTTAAATAAGCAGTTACAGCATTTACTGTGCCTTTTGCTATCTGTTCTCTAATAAATGTATTCTTGCATAGCTTTTCATTACTCTCACTCACTCTTGAGTTTCCTGGGGGCTGGCTCCTCCCTGCTTTTGGTACTTCTTTCTTTGTAAATTAAATATTTTGTTCATTTAAAAACTTTATCCCTATTTTAAATAATAAAAGCATTTCATACTATGAATTTAGATGAGCGGGTAGCTTTAGTCCTGTTCCAAGGTTCTTTTTCTAATTATGTTACTCTCATTTTTATTTTCTAAACAGTATGTTATTAACTATTTTGTTTGGTTAAGCAGTTTTTAAATTTTTTTAATCCTCCGTTGAGAGATAATATTTACACTTTAATTTCCAGTAAGACTGGATGAAGATTTTGGTCCACATTAACATGAAGATTTCATTGGAGTTTGATTTTTTTTCCCTGTGGCTGAGTGGAATGCAAACTTTTTGGTTAAAACTTTGTTTTTAGTTGTAGTCGCATTCTGTCACCCAGGCTGGAGGGCAACGGCATGCTCACGCCACCCCAGCATCGACCCGCCTCAGCCTTCCAAGTAGCTGAAACCACAGGCATGTGCTTCCACACCAGGCTAATTTTTTTTGCTTATTGTAGAGACGAGGTCTCACCATGTTGCCCAGGCTGATCTCGAGCCTGTGGGTTCAGGTAAGCCTCTCGCCTCAGCCTCCCAAAGTGCTGGGATTACAGGCTTGAGCCACCGCACCTGACCAACCATGTCAACTTTTTTTTCTCTTTTAATTTTTTTTATTTTGAAGATGTGGGGTACAATTCAGGGTTAGGTATACAAATGTTCATGATGCAGGTACCCTTGTTGATGAGGTGATGTCAACTTTTTAATGGTGTATAAATATCTACAAAGAAGGCATAATCTGTTTATAGGACCTAAAGGCCAAAATATATTAATTTAGCCTTAAAGATATATTTCCAAGATTCACTAGGTGCCTTATAGATGTTTTCTGACTTATTAAAACAATCCTGCAAAGGGACACATACCGTACTCTTCCACTTACGTGAGGCACCTAGAGTAGTTAAATTCCTATAGATGGAAGGTAGAATGGTGCCTGAGAGGGGCCAGGGAGACAGGGGGAGGGGGAGTTGTTTAAGGGTCACAGAGTTCCATCCAGGAAGAGGAAAAAGCACTGGAGCTGGATAGTGGTGGTGATCGCACAGCAGTGTAGAAAGTTCTTAATGCCTCTGAACTGTACACTTAGAAACGGCTAAGATGATATATTTAATGTTAACCATGTTAACAGCAACTAATAAAATGTAATCCTGTGACTTAGTTATCCCAATCTGTGAGCAGGGAAATGTGGTTCTGAGGTCACCCTGTGGAGGAGAGTCAGGATTTAAACTGGGTTGTCTGGATGGTGAGCCTTGAGCATTCTACCGGGTTACTCCCTGCCCTGGTGAGCTGCTTAAGGGCAGCTCCCCGATCCCCAGTATCCTCCCAACTTACAAAACAAGATGCCACACTTGCACCCAGATACCCTCGCACTTCCAAAGTGAACTCTGCTCGTTTCTCATCTCTCCCCAGCCGTCAAGCCCACCACTAAGCAGCCCACCACAGCAGCCACCACCCAGAGCCCCACCAATATGGCCACTACAGTAACCACCACTGGCCTCAATTTCACAGGGAGTGCAGGGTCCCTGCCCCTGAGCCTGGAGAGTACAGTTGGAGTGGCAGTGGCTGCTGCTGTGCTTATAACCATGATTGTGGGACTAATGATCTACCTCGTGTGGAAGAAAAGAAAAGGTAAGTGTCCAGTATCCACCCTCTCCCCGAGCTTTCCAACTGGGGGTTTCTCAGAATCTGCCTGCAGCAGAAAAACCAAAGGTGGTTCTTAAAAATGCAGATCTGCCAGGCACAGGGACTCACACCTCAATCCTAGCACTTTGGGAGGCCAAGGCAAGAGGCTTGCCTGAGCCCAGGGATTTGAGACAGCAAGACCTCGTCTCTACAAAAATCAAAAAGATTAGACAAGTGTGGCAGCCCATGCCTGTAGTCCCAACTAGTCGGAAAGCTGAGGCAGAAGGATCGCCTGAGTTCAGCAGGTCCAGGCTGGGATAGCTGTGATCGTGCCACTGCTCCCCAGCCTGGGCGACAGAGTGAGACAAAGACCCCAAAATGAATGAATGAATGAATGAATGCAGACCCTTGTTGTTTTCCCCTCAAACCCACCAAGTCAGACTCTGAGGTCTGTGCCTGGGAATCTGTGTTTTTGAAAGGCTCCTCTGCTGGGCTCGGTGGCTCAGCCTGTACTCCCATGCCTTTGGGAGGCTGAGGTGAGTGGATTGCCTGAGCCCATGGGTTCAAAACCCGCCTGGGCAGGTGAGACCTCATCTCTACAATAAAATCAAAAAATTAGCCGGGCGTGGTAGCACGCGCCTGTAATTCCAGCTACTTAGAAAGCTGAGGCGGAAGGATCGCCAGAGCCCAGCAGGTCGCGGCTGTGGTGGCCAGGAGAGGCCACTGCACTCCAGTCTGGGCAACAGAGTGAGACTCCAACTCAAAAAAAAAAAAGAAAGGCTCCTCAAGCGAGGTCTGTGCAGGAGAAGCTTGAGAACCACCAGTCCTTCCCCCCACAATCAGACTGTTTCGGGTTCTCTCTTGACTTGGTCACATCTCGCCATTCTTCACCTTTTTGTTCACGGGGAGGGGAGGGCCTGCTCTGAAAAAGGAGAGAGAGAATGGAAGGGAGAAGTTAGCTCAGCAAACCCTGGGCAACTGCCCACCTGCCGGGGTCTGGCTGGAAACTGGAGATGCAAAAGTAGGTAAAGCATAGACTCTGCCTTGATGGAGCTCGATTACGGAAGTGGGGAGAGTGTCGGTTGCCTCAAGAGCAAATTGCTTCATTGAGAAAGAGCTACGGGAGCATGTAAGAAGGTGGGCAGGGCCGGGCTCGGTGGCTCAGCCTGTAATCCCGCGCCTTTGGGAGACCGAGGTGAGTGGATTGCCTGAGCCCGTGGGTTCGAGACCTGCCTGAGCAACTTGGCGAGACCTCATCTCTACAATAAATCAAAAAATGAGCCGGGCGTGGTAGCGTGCACCTGTAATTCCGGCTACTCGGAAGGCTGAGGCAGAAGGATCACCGGAGCCCAGCAGGTCAAGGCTGCGGTGGCCGGGAGTGGCCACTGCACTCCAGTCTGAGCCACAGAGTGAGACTCCCACTCAAAAAAAAAAAAAAAAAGAAAGAAAGAAAAGAAGGTGGGCAGGAAGAAGAGGTAGCCAGGGAGGACTTCCCCGAGGAAGTGACACTTGCAACAGCCTCAGAGAATAAAAAGAATTAGCCAGGCACGTGGTGAAGGCGGTGCAGTGGTCACTGGCTCTCCTTCTGGGTCGAGGAAATCTTTCCAGGAGCAGCAGGAAGCTCAGTGCTAGTGGAGCCAACGGGAGACGAGAGAAGAGGCCCCTGGAAATCGCACTCGAGAGCCTCTGTTCCCAGGGGCAACGCAGAAGCCGCAAGGGGGCGACATCATCTCCCTGGGGCCCATCCAGCAATCGGTATGGGGGGGGCGTGGGCCAGGTCAGTCTAATGCAGAGGCAGCGCCGAGGGAGGGAAAGGGCCAGATCCTGGAAAAGGCTAGAAGTGAAAACCCTTGAGACTTGACTGTGAGACTGATGGAGGGGCGAGGGAGCAGGAACAAGCCCATGTTTCAACCTGGTGGGTGAGGCTGTGATGAAACCAAGTGAGAAATAGAAATAGAAGAGAAGACCATGCTTGCGAGGCAAAGAGGACCCTTTGGTTTGGGATATATTCTATTTGAAAATCTTGTGTAGCATCTGAGTAGAGCTGTCCATCAGAAGTTGGGGTGTATGTCTCTACAAAAAGATTAAAAATAATTAGCCAAGCGTGGTGGCCTGTGCCTCTAGTCCCAGCTACTCGGGAGGCTGAGGTGGAGGGATTGCCTAGAAGGTCAGGTAGAGGCTGCAGTGAGATGTGACCATGCCACTGCATTCCAGCCTGGGCGACAAAGACTCTGACTCAAAACTTTAAAAAGGGAAAAAAAGCCGGGCTCGGTGGCTCAGCCTGTAATCCCAGCACTTTGGGAGGCTGAGGTGAGTGGATTCCATGAGCCTGCGGGTTCGAGACCCGCCTGGGCAACTTGGTAAGACCTCATCTATACATAAATCAAAAAATTAGCCAGGTGTGGTAGCACGCGCCTGTAGTTCCAGCTGCTTGGAAGGCTGAGGCGGAAGGATCGCCTGAGCCCAGCAGGTCGAGGCTGTGGTGGCCGGGAGCGGCCACTGCACGCCAGTCTGGGTGACAGAGTGAGACTCCAACTCAATAAAAAAATAAAAAAATAAAAAAAATAAAAAAGGGAAAAAAGAATTTGGGATGTATGCCTTTACAACTCAAGAGAAAGGACAAGCCTAGAAGCACTAATTAGTTATACCCCAATATCCTCCAAAATTGATCAGAAATTACCTTAAAGAAAATCTGTGATGAAAGGCGATTCGCCCTATCAGATATTAAAGTTCAGAGGTGAAAGCATAGAGAACAGGCTGCCTGCAATGCTGGCTTCACCCCCCGACTAGGGACACTTTAGCACGATGGTACGAATGCTGCGTGTCTCAACTTCCGCATGGGAAGAGGACGATAACAACAGGACGTGTGAGGTTATCCTAATGACAAACATGATACATTCAGAATAGACCCTAGCACGGCATATGCACCACAGGAGCATTGACACTCATTAAACAATGATCATTCAAATGATGCAATACCAGCATACACAGGTAAACCAGTGGAAGAAAAGAGAAAATTCTAAATATAGCAGTATTAAAGCACACCCACATACGCAAGAATTTAGTCGGTCAAAAAGTATTATTTCTGATCAATGGAGAAAGATGGGTAATTCAAATATATGGCTTGGGAACTACTGGGGAAATATTTCCATTTCCCAAAATATGCACCAAAATAAATTCCACAGAGATCAAAGATTTAAATGAGGAAAAAAATAACCTAGTAACCTAGTACTGGAAGAAGATATGAGATTGTTTTATAACCATAATGGAGATAATCTCCCTCAATATGATAAAACCCAGCAGGCATGGATTTTTAAAATTTATAAATTAATCTATATTATAATGTTTTAATTCTGCAGAGTGGTTGTCTCCTAAGAATGAGGAAGAGGGTCAGGGAATTTAAGAGAAAGTTTGACATAGTCACTGAGGAAATGGAAAGTGGGGTTGAAAGATGCGACTCAGATGAGAAACCATAAATCCATAAAAGCCTCGTTATATGTTAGTATATACTGACTGTGTTTTTCCTGAGTTTTCAACCCTTCAGGTTTTAAAAGCTTAGTGATTTGTGTTGGTTAGGAATGGTTTTCAGCTACTACCACCAGGGACCAGAGATAACAGGGCTTAAATGAGGCAGAGTCAGGGCTTTTTTCTTCTAATAAAAGGATTTGGAAGAAAATAGCAGAGAACACTATTCTTAAGCACTCAGGCCTCTACCTTTCTGATCCACCATTCTTGATACTGGCTTCTGTCTTCAAGTTTGGTCCGAGGCAGCTGGAAATATTCCAGCTATTTTTTCTGGGTTTCTGGCAGGAAAGAAGGAAGAAAGGAGGGGGGGAAATGCTATTCTCCAGCTGTCTGCTCCCTTCTAAAGAGCCTTCCTGAAAGTCCTAACCACAACTTCTGCCTGTATCTTATTGGCTAGAATTTAGTCATGCATCCCACAGCTATCTGTAGGAGGGACCCTCCTACTCTAAATAAAATCAGTTTTCTGTAACTGAGTAAGAAGAACTGGGAAGATATTGGATAAGCAAATTGTATTCCCTGTCATAGGATACACCCAGGATTAGAGATTTGCCAGCTAGCTGTGGCACAATAACAGGGGAACATGGGTGGTGTTGGAGCTGGTGAGAAAGCATGAATGGAGAATAGCAGGGTCCTCAAGAAGCTTGGATAATGACAGTATATTATCAAGAGAATAGAGTTCAATGAGGTCAAAGAACAGGTATAGTGGAATAACTACAAAAGACAGCTGGAATACTTCCAAACTTACTCTATGAGGCCAGCATCACCATGATACCAAAGCCAGACAAAGACACTACTAGAGAAACTACAGACCAATGTCTCTGATAAACGCTGATGTAAAAACCTTCAACAAAATACTAGTAAGCCAAATTTAACACTACATCAAAAGAATTATATACCATGACCAAGTGGTAGTTATTCCTGGAATTTAAGGATAGTCCAACATATGAAGATCAATCAGTGCAATGTACCACAGTAACAGAATGAAGGACAAAACCATGTGATCATCTCAATTGACACAGAAAAAACTTTGGACAGGATTTATCACTCTTTCATGAAAAAACGCTCAACAAACCAGGAATAGAAGGAAAGTACCTTAACATAATTAAGGCCATTTATGAAAAGCCCACAGTTAATATCATTAAATGCTGAAAGACTGGAAGCTTTTCCTCTAAGGTAAGTAACAAGGCAAGGATGCAATGCTCACTCTCACTACTTCTATTCAACACAGTATTGGAAATCCCAGCCAGAGGACTTAGGCAAAGAACAAAAAAGACATCTAAATTGGAAAGGAAGAAGTCAAATGATCTCTGTTTGCAGGTGACATGATCTTATATGTAGAAAACTTTAAATATTCCACACAAAAAACCCAACAACAATCTGTTAGAACTAATGAACTGAGCAAAGTTGCAGGATACAAATTCAACACAAAAAAAATCAACAGAAAAATCCATTTCTATATACTACTAATGACCAATTTTCAAAGAAATTAAGAAAATTATATTTATAATAAATCAAAAAATAAATAAATACTTAGGAATAAATCTAGCCAATAAGGTTAAGACTTCTACATTGAAAACCAGTAAACACTGCTGAAAGAAGTTAAAAATACAAATAAATGATAAGACATCCTGTGCTCATAGGTTGAAAGAATCAGTATTGTTCAAATGTCTATACAACCTGAAATAATCTATAGATTTAATGCATTCCCTAGAAATCCAAACATGTTTTGCAGAAATAGAAAAATTCATATGAAATTTCAAGGTTCCCCCAAATAACCAAAACAATCTAGAGAAAGAAAAAGAAATAACTCACATTTCCTGATTTCAAACAAATTACAAACCTCCAGTAATCAGAACAATATGGTACTAGCATAAATATAGATAAATAGACCAATGGAATAGAGAGCCCAGAAATAAACTCTTGTTTATATGGTCAAATGATTTTTGACACGGGTGCCAAGAAACACTCAATGCAGAAATGACAGTCTCTTCAACAAAATGGTACTGAGAAAATTGAATATCCATATGCCAAATAATGAAATTGGATCCTTATCTTACACCATAGACAAAATTTAACTCCAAATGGATTAGAGACCTAAATGTAAGACCCCAAACCATAAAGCTTCTAGAAGAAAACATGGGGAAAAGCTTTACAACACTGGATTTCACAATAATTTCTTGGATATGACACCAAAAAAGCACAGGCAAAAAAAGAAAAAATAAATAAGACTACTTCAAACTTAGACACGTTTTTAAAACAAAGGACACAATCAACATAATAAAAAGAAGAGCTATAGGATGGGAGACAATATTTGCAAATCATATATCTGATAAGGGGTTAATATTCAGAATATATAAACACTCCGACAACTCTACAACAACAACAAAAAATCAACCCAGTTTTAAAATGGGCAGTGGGCCAGGCATGAGAGAATTGCTGCCTAGGAATTTGAGACCAGTCTAGGCAACACAGCAAGACCTCATCTCTACAAAAAATTTAAAAATTAACCCAGTGTGGTGGCCCACGCCCATCATCCCAGCTACTCAGGAGGCTGAGGCAGAAGAATCACCTGAGCCCAAGAGTACCAGGCTGTGGTGAGCCAGGATCATGTCACTACACTCTAGCCTGGGCGACAAAGTAAGACCTCGACTCAAAAAAAAAAAAAAAAAAGAGGCAATGGATTTTAACAGAAATTTCTCCAAGGATGATGTATGCTATAGTCTGAATTTGTCTCCCCAAATTCATGTGTTGGAAATTTAATCCCCAGTGCAACATCTGAGAAGGAGGATATCTTGGGAAGCGTTTAGGTCATGAGGGCCACGAGGGCTCTGCCACACTGATGGATTAACGCTATCAGAAACAGGAATTTGGAGAGTGGGTTCACTCTCCTCTGACCTTCTGCCATGTGAAAATACAGTCTTCCTCCCCTCTAGAAGATGGAGTACAGAGGCCTTCACCAGATTCTGGAGCCCTCATCTTGGACTGCTTAGCCTCTACAGCTGTGAGAAATAGATTTCAGTTCTTTATAAATTACTCAGTCTCAAGTATTCTCTTACAGCAGCATAAAACAGACTAAGACAGCCGGGCTTGGTGGCTCAGCCTGTAATCCCACCACTTTGGGAGGCTGAGGCGAGTGGATTGCCTGAGCCCATGGGTTCAAGACCCACCTAGGCAACTTGGCGAGACCTCATCTCTACAAAAAATCAAAAATGAGCCGGGCGTGGTAGCGCACACCTGTGGTTCTAGCTACTTGGAAGGATCGCCGGAGGCCAGCAGGTCGACGCTGGTGGTGGTCATGAGTGTGCCACTGCACTCAGCCTGGGCTACAGAGTGAGCCTCCAATTAAAAAAAAAAACCAAAAAACAAAAAAAAAACACAGACTAAGACAACATACGAGTGGCCAAAACAAGCAAATACAAAGAAATTCCACATCATTAATCATCAGAGAAATGCAAATCAAAACCACAATGGGATATCACCTTACACTAATTAGGAAAACTACTATTTAAAAAATAAGTGCACAAGCCGGGCTCGGTGGCTCAGCCTGTAATCCCGCACCTTTGGGAGGCTGAGGTGAGTGGATTGCCTGAGCCCGCGGGTTCGAGACCCGCCTGGGCAGGCGAGACCTCATCTCTACAATAAATCAAAAAAATTAGCCGGGCATGGCAGCATGCGCCTGTAGTTCCAGCTACTTGGAAGGCTGAGGCTGAAGGATCACCAGAGCCCAGCAGGTTGAGGCTGCCGTGGCCGGGAGTGGCCACTGCACTCCAGTCTGGGCGACAGTGAAACTCCAACTCAAAAAAAAAAAAAAAAAAGTGCACAAATGACAAATGTTGGCAAGAATATGGAGAAATTCAAAGCTTAAAAAAAATAATTAAAACCAGAACTACCATACGATCCAGCAATCCCATTTCTGGACATATATCTAAAATAATTGAAAACAGGGTCCTGAAGAGATATTTGTACACCCACATTGACAGCAGTATTATTCATAATAGCCAACAGGTAGAAGGAACCCACATGTCCATCAATGAATGAATGAACAAACAAAATGTGGTTTATACATATAATGGAATATGTATACAGCCTTTAAAACATTTATATTGTTGACACATGCAACAATATGAATGAACCTTGAGAACATTGTGCTAAGTGAAGCCAGTCACAAAAAGACAAATACTTTATGATTTTACTTATATGAGGTAACTAGAGTAGTGAAATTAATAGAAACAGAAAGTAGGATGGTGATATAGAGGCTGTGGGAGAAGGGAAAGGGAAATTCTTTAACAGATATAGTTTCAGTTTTGCAAGATGGAAAAGTTCTGAGGATCTATTTCACAACAGTGTGAAAATACTTAACACTACCAAACCATACACTTAGAAATGGTTAATATGGTGATTTCTAGCTGTTTTTTTTTTTTCTTATAACAATTCAGATGAAGGAAACTTGTTAAAGTTGCAAAAAGAGAAGAGAGAAGCAGAAGACAGTTGTAGCACGAAAATAATACTTGTGTTTTCTTTAATAAAGCTTTTTAACCACTAAAAAAAGAAAAAGAAAGAGAAAATGTTACTTCCAGCTAATATTTCAGAGTTCCCAGTCCCAAAGGTTAAAAAAAAAAGTCCAGAGATGGCCTAGTGGCATGGAAGTTGGAGGCCCCTGGACTTGGTGAGCCGTGAGTCTTGAGTCCGAGGGTGTCTCTGTGGGTGCTGAGATTCCCAGATGATGCTGGATGGTGGAGAATGTCTATGAACCAGGGCTAAATGCTTGGGAAGTGTGGCAGGGAGAGTCCAGAGGGCTGGACAAGGACCCAGCGCAGAGGGTGGGGCAGCCGGTTTCGAGTGAGGGATCGGTCAGAGGGGAAGGACGGATGGTCCGGCGATGGCAACGGAAGTCTCAACACATGCAAAGGTGGTTCCAACCATGAGGCGCCCACGCCTGCAGACACAGCTGCCACGCAGAAGGAAAGCACAAGCAGCTGTTGGCGTGAGGATGTGGAGTACGTGGTGGGCGTGGGTGTCAAGAGGAGGCGGGAGAGGGAGGTGGAAGGAGCCAGGTTGGGTTGAGAAGGGAACTCAGGGAAGGGAGAAGGAAGCAGAGAGAGAGAGTTGAGATGAGGGAGTGACAGGATTTGCCGTAGAGGACAACAGGGAGGACAGATGTGGGGGCCTCAGAGTGCCGGTTGAGTCCCAGGCCCTTCCCTGGTGGGCCCTGGCAGTCCTGCTCTGTCCTGCAAAGAAGGTCTCAGCCTAGGGTGCGGCAGTGAAGGTGGATGCAGAAATGCCATCTCTGTGAATGTCACACTGACAGGCTGTTGGTCCTCCTACAGGTCGGCAGACTGGAGCCAAAACCCCAGCCAGGTGAGTGCCTGTCCTCTCCAAGGAGTGGCGGGGAAGGGGCTGGGCGGGAAACAGGAAATGTCCTTCCAAGAAACCCAAAGCCAAGTCTGCCACAGCCCCTCTTGCAGCCCCAGCTTATCCATTCGTGTCCTCCCTTGTCTGTCGGGCCAGACTCTTGACCCCTCGGGTTCTGCCCCCTAAAAAGAAGAACAGTGGCCCCCGGGGTCCAGCATGAACCTTAGAGAGTCTCCTTTCCAGAGTGTCTCCCTTGTGTCTTTCTCCTGTAGCCTCTGCCCTTTTATCCTGTTTCTGAGCTTTTTCTGCTGTTCATCTCCCTCCTGGACACATCCAGCTCTTCCATATTTCACCCTGTCCTTTTTGCTCTCCACTCCGTGGGCCCTGCCTCCTGCTGAATGTGCCTGGGGCCACAGGGCTTCCTCTGCCTTCAGCAGCTCCTCTCGGTGCCTGTCTTTGCTCAGAACCTGCTTCCCAGCCTCAGCCCCCCTCTCCTCTCCCGGTTCCACCAACCTTTCCCTTTCCGGGCTCTTCCTCTCCACCCTCCCACCGCTGGCCTCTTCTCCTGCCCTTCCTGGCCCTCGCCACAGGTTTCCTTCAGAAGGAAGCCTCTCCCCTGGGCTCTCTCCTGCCCCAGCGTTGGCGAGCTACTCTTCCTCTGGTCCCTCGCAGGACGCTTCCCCTTCCAGGCACCACGCCTGAGCACCTGCCCAGAGGACCCACACTTCTCTGAACTGGTTTTCTTCTCCCGGTTTTTGCCAAGGCAGCGCCAGCAGACAGCAGGGGCTGGCCCTTCCTAGTTCTCCTGTGTTCCTCTCCAGGACATGCAGCTTCCCCAGAAAAATGTACCTCCTTCAGCACGGAGGGACCCCTGCTGGGCCACATCACAAACTGCCTCTAATTCTTCTTCCAGGTGGCCTCCTTCTGAGAGCCTGAAGCCGGCACATTCATCCTGCTGAGTAGGTCAGGACAGGTTGCAGAGGTTGCAGAGCATTCCTCAAAGAGAAACAACCAGACTTTACTGTCCAGCCTCTAATACCTTTGCCATCCCCTTTTTCCCATACAGGGAAGACTCCCAAAACATGGAAGAGAAATATGAGAGTACTGGGAATAAAGGTAAGTGTTTCCCGCCAGCACATCCCAGTTTTCACCCGTGGCCCTTCCCTACGCCGCAAACACTCCCCTCCTAGGTGTGTGCCCTCCTCGGTATCTCCCTTCTTTCCCATTCCCCAGCCCATCCCATGCCCTCAGGTGACCCTCATAGTAGATGACCTCACTACTGGAGCCCCCTACCCATCTCGACTCTGGTTGATCTCAGTACACCCTTTTTTCTCCTAGGACAACACCCAGACCCCAAGCTGCAACCCAAGGTGAGCAGTGAGACTAGGCTCTGAGGGAACTAAAGGGAAACCTGGAGCAGGTGGGGTAAAAGGAAGCACTGTGGTGTGGACAGGACACTCAACGCAGCTTTGCCGTTAAGACGGGGACAACTCTGCCTCCACTGCCTAACCCCCTTCTCTTCCGGTTCTCGCTCAGGCTGACGGCATCGTCTACGCCTCCCTTGATCTCTCCGGCTCCTCCTCACCTCCCAGCCACCAGAGCCTTGGGAGTCCCCAGCAAGAGACCCTATACTCTGTTTTAAAGGCCTAACCGGTGGCCTGAATGATAAGGCTGAGCAAGATGAAGCACACCTGCGATCCCAGCGACTTGCGAGGCTGAGGCAAGGAAAAGCGCTTGAGCCCAGGAGTACGAGGCCAGTCGTCTCTAATTTAAAGAATAATAATAAAACAAAATCTTAAAAAACATTGTCTTCAAAATTTTACAAATTGCATCCATTAAAGTATACAGAAAAAGAAAAAAAATAAAGACTGAACGATGGCCTCCTCAAGGTAAGCTATGCTTCCAACAGGAAGGATCACAGCTGCCAACAATGAGGCCAGATGCAAACAGCTCCAGAGGTCAGCAGGTGTTGAAGGCTACCAGGAACTGATACAGAGGCATCTACTCCAATTACCTCTTCACGTTCTTAGCCCTTGCCCACAAAAAATAAGTATCCCCCCGAATTTGCCTGAATATAGGTAAGGAGAAAGCTGGTGTCACCTTCAACCGCTGTCCCTCCCACCAAAACTGAACTCTAATAACAACTCATACCCAAGATCCCTTCTCTAGTACCTTTTTCAGTACTTTTTTCCCTCAGACCAGGGAACATAAATCCCCACACACCGGTAGCCAGCTCAGAACCCAGTGTCTGAACCCCATATCCAACCAGAATCTTCCCTTATATAATAACTAACAGGTATTGTATTTAGTGCTTTACATGCATCACCTCATTTAACATCAACAACCCTACGAGATAAATGATGTACTTATCTGCGGCATGAAAATCAGAACCAGAAGGGTTGGCATGCTTTTCCCAAGGATATGAGAGGTAGCTAGCAAGTAGCTGAGCCAGGATTCGAACTCCAATCTGCCCTTCTGGATGTCCTCCCAAGACTGCAGTCTCACACCAGAAACAATGATGCGTGCCACAGTGACTCAGAGCAGGAGGGAAAGATGCCGAAAGGAAGCATGTGATCACAGACCGACCAAGCCAACTGACCAGTATCCTGCTTTATTAACACACAAACTGCACAACTCTGACTCGAGCTCTGTAGCCAGTTCACATTCACACCCCCAACATACAGCAACTTCCCAGGGACCCCCTGAAAGGCTCTCCCGCCTGTGCTCCAGAGAAGGGAGAACAGGAAGGGGGGCGAGACCACACAGCGTTCCTCAACGACGGCCGCAGGGAGCTCTTGGCCATCTCTGTGCTGGGGCTCCTCTCTCTGCTCTCTTTTCCGACATCTTCCATGGTTGCCCCAGGTCCAGGTCACTGGAATCTTCATCTTCAGGGGTAGCACTTCCAGCCTCCTGAGTCAGGAGTTTCTAGGGTCCAGGCCCTTCCTTCCCAGCTGAGGGACATGAGCTAATGGACCCAGACCCTTTGGCCTCATTCTAACTTCTTTTTCATCGGATAAGCTGGTTACTGAAGCCTTGCTTTGGGGAGCTTTAAATTTTTTCTTTGGGCCTAAATGAAAAGATGACAAAGCAAAGAGTCCTATTAGGTCAGTCTGTACTTACTTGTACAAGTCAAACTCCTAAATTCCTATTTCCAAGAACTCTCTGGAAAAGATGACCTTTCTGAGTACAAAGAATATGGACTTTGGGTCACAAAGATTTGGATTCAACCTGTGGGTCAGTCATATGCTAGACATAGGCCTTAAGCACTTTTACATTATTTTTTCACTTGAGATAAGGCCTCACTATGTTGCCCAGGATGGTCTAGAACTCCTGGCCTCAAGCAATACTCTCACCTGGTCCTCCAAAAGTGCTGGGATCATAGGTGTGAGCCACTGTATGGCCCCTGAGCATATTTTAAATCCTTTGAGCCTCTGTTTCCTTATCTTTAACATGGAAAGTATCCCATCATAGAGCTCTTGAAAAAATCTAAAGAAGCAAGCATGAAAGTACCTAGCCAGCCTACGGCAATACTCAGTACATGTTAGCTCCCTTCTCCCTACCACCCTCCTGTCTCTGGATCAAATCAAATAAACTGTTTTTGTAGTGTGTGCTATGTACAGTCTGAGAGATGCCCTTTCATTCTAATTTTCATTTCTTCTTTAAAGTAATGAAAAGCAGTAGAATTGTTAAGAAACGATTCAGGAAGGGGAGATGCATTCCGTTTAGCTTTTACCAGGCTTTGAGCCTTACCTAGTTGGTCGGTATCTGGATTCCCTTGGCCTTCTTTCTCGCTCACTAAGGGTGCAGGGGGAGCTGAGGGTTCATTGCCCAGAGATCTCTTCATCATCTTCTTTGGCAGGGTCCCACCTCGTCCATCTGCCATGCCTGCATCAACCCCACCACCAACAATGAAGGAGATTTGTTTATTTTTCTCTGCATGACAACTTGGCAAGGGCAACTGAACTTTCCACCTGTAGTCTCTGCCCTGCCCACATCTTCTGCTCATTCTCTATTTGGGTTCCCTCAGTAGCCTCCAGTTCCCCAATCGTCTTTTTTTTTTCTTTTGCCCCTAAGATCTTATCTTTACAGTTTTCCTCGGAGTCTGTCTTCTCCAGGAAGACATCTTCTTGGCTAAGAACTTAAAACCTTCCATCTTTTTTTTTTTTTGAGTTGGAGTCTCACTCGGTCACCCAGACTGGAGTGCAGTGGCCACTCCCGGCCACCACAGCCTCGACCTGTGGGGCTCCGGCGATCCTTCCGCCTCAGCCTTCCAAGTAGCCGGAATTACAGGCGCGCGCTACCACACCCGGCTGATTTTTTTGATTTATTGTAGAGATGAGGTCTCACTGCCCAAGCAGGTCTCGAAGCCGCGGGCTCAGGCGATCCATTCACCTTAGCCTCCCAAAGGCGCGGGATTACAGGCCGAGTCACTGAGCCCGGCTAAAACCTTCCACCTTTAAACCTAAGATTTTATAATTCAGTACAGAGAAGCAAGGAAGCTCCCGTTTTCCACTGACACTATCAGTGAGTCTTGCCTGTTTTCCCAGGTCCTGGAGCTGAGATGGTTAGTAAGGACCAGTAACTTACAGGCCCTTTACACTCTCTACCACTTCCCTGCCTTAACTGTGAGACATGTCCTATTTCCAGCTGGCTTGCTTACCTCTTGGCTTGGGTTCTTTTGTCTGCATTTTGACTGGCCTAGAACTGGGCAAAGTTGGGTCCTGAGGATGGGAGAGTAAGGAATAAGAAGATAAATTAAGTCACATAACTGTTCTTAATACAGAAGCATACTACAGAATGATGGGTGGACTCTGGGAAGTCAAATTAGGTTCTGTGAGGCTGATAATGTTTAAATCTATGGCAACACAAAGAACAATATGTAGTCACCTTCCCAGTCTTTTGGTATTTGTCAGTGTAAAGCTTTAGGCATAAAAGAAGGAAGTAAAGCTAGGTCACAAGAATGATAAACATTGGTAAATTAAAAATTAGAAAAGAAAGTGAAAAAATGTATTTCCTATACCTGGAAAAGAGACACTACGAAAATAAGTGAGTGAAAATCCTAAGTGTCCACATAGGGGAGAAAAGAGTAGAGAAGCAACTTGCTAGTCTCTGAAATTGCTTCAGGAAGAATCAAAGAAACATAGTAGGAACTGAGACTATAATCAAGAAATAAGTTCCTAGAGATGTGGGAAATCAGAGAGAATAAAGAGGAAAAAAGGAGAGCCTCCTTCCCTGGAGATCCCTAACAGATCAGCCAGTCTAGTCATGAGTGGTGGCGTGTGCCTGTAGTTCCAGCTACTTGGAAGGCTGAGGCAGAAGGATTGCCTGAGCCCAGCAGGTCGAGGTTGCGGTGGATTTGAGTGTGTCACTGCACTCCAGCCTGGGCAACAGAGTGAAGCTCCACTCAAAAAAAAAAAAAAAGATCAGCCAGTTGGGTCTCCCATGAGGCAGGAACAGGATGGCTCCTTGGTGAATATAAGCCCATGCTAACAAGACCCCTACCGGAATCTCCTAAAAGGAAACCCCAAAATCCTCATCTAAACCAATATTTAAGGGTAATGTTACTTTTTTCTCTTCCTTCTCCTCCATTTCTGACTTCTCCTCCTCCTCTTTCTCCAAGCAGGATTCTGGACTGTCAGGCCTAGAGAGCATCAAGTCTGGAACACAAAAAGGAAGAGAAAAAGGCTAAACAATTCATATAATAAAATAGCTGGTGAGTTAAGGGAACTGATCCCAGAGAACTCATCTTTAATGCCACATTCTGTGTCCAAGTGACGTTTCCTCCATAAAATGTGATCCCAGCTTCTCACGCGCACATCCCTGTCAAAGCCCTTCACGACTCAACATACAGTCTCCTTTCCTGCCCTCCTTTCCCCCATTCCTTTCTCTGCCCTCTGAGTCAATCACATTCACCAAAGCCTGCTATTATAAATGACATGGAATACAAAATAAAGGGAAACCTGGGCTGCTCCCCTCACAAAGGAATCCCTCCCTTTCCTCTCCAGTCCTCACCCTCCACCTATCCTACCTTTTCCTTCCCCATCACTGTCAGATCTGCTGTATCGGCTCCGGAAACCAAACAAGCTAACCCGTTCCTGAAGGAACCAAGAAACAAAAGCATCATCCACGGCCCTTCCAGGGGCGACTTTTGTCCTCTGTCTTCTGGAATTTTTTTTTTTTTTTTTTTTTTGAGTTGGAGTCTCACTGTCGCCCAGACTGGAGTACAGTGGCCACTCCCGGCCACTGCAGCCTCGACCTGCTGGGCTCCAGCGCTCCTTCCGCCTCAGCCTTCCAAGTAGCTGGAACTACAGGCGTGCGCTATCACGCCTGGCTAGTTTTTTTTAATTTATTGTAGAGATGAGGTCTCGCCTGCCCAGGCGGGTCTCGAACCCGCGGGCTCAGGCCTGGAATTTAATTATAAAGAAATTTGTATTAATTTCCTTTACCATTTTCACTTGAAATTTCGCATTAGCCTTATCTGAACTTTTATGGAGATTGATTAATTATAGTCTCTTTTTCCAGGTTGTCTATAATTGGGAAGGGAAAATTCACTGTTTATCATTCACCACCTCACACCCCATCCCTACCAGCAGAATTTGAGGGCCAAAACTGACTCCACATAAAAGTGAGGTCAGGACACATATATCTGAGATCTGAAGTTAAGTAAAAAGATAGGATGCCCACTACCACAAACTGTCTTTGTCTGAACTCAGAGAGAATTCCATTTGTCCAAGGGTAGGGAAGGGAATGAATGTGGTCTGAACGCTCTCCTACCTCAATGCTGATCTGTTCTGCCTCCTGAGCCATCGTCAGGGCTGCCCCCAGTTTCTGGCTGCAGTCTTTGTTCCTACACTTTTTCTGAAATGGAAGAAGATTGGAGTCAATGATAAATAATGGCTTTAACATTAGAGTCAATAATAAATATTAGAGAAGTAACCCAAACATACTGGTACCCATCAGACATTATCTTTTTTTTTTTTTTGAGTTGGAGTCTCACTCTGTCGCCCAGACTGGAGTGCAGTGGCCACTCCCGGCCACCGCAGCCTTGACCTGCTGGGCTCCAGCGATCCTTCCACCTCAGCCTTCCGAGTAGCCGGAATTACAGGCACATGCTACCACGCCCGGCTGATTTTTTGATTTATTGTAGAGATGAGGTCTCGCCTGCCCAGGCGGGTCTCAAACCCGCAGGCTCAGGCAATCCACTCACCTCAGCCTCCCAAAGGCGCGGGATGACAGGCTGAGCCACCGAGCCCGGCTAGACATTATCTTTAACTACATTTATTTCCAGTTCCTACTATTGATATGATACTCCTTAATCTTTTAGGCTCAGACATAACATCCACCTCCCCTCAATAAACCTCTTGCTGATTCCTATCAATATTTTCAGTCAACTAAATATTAGTGCCCTCTCCAAAGTGAGTCACATGAAAATTTCAAGAGATGATTAAAGTAGTTCAGATAATTTCATTTTTAAGCTTTGGACAAGTTTCTTCAGATTCAGTTGCTTGATTTAATACTCACTACTTGACTTTCTAAAGCCCCTGAGCTTCTAGGCCTCTACTCATTTGTAAGGCTGGTCAAAACCAAAGTGACTGTAGGGAGAAAATATGATTCAGCTAATCCAATGGTTCTCAACTGGGAGAGATACTGCTCCCCAGTAGACACCTGACAACGTCTGCAGACAATTTTTTAGTTGTCACAACTAGGGGCAGGGGGCAGAGGCTGTGGGTGGGGCTGCTACTGGCTGGATGCTAGTGGAGCCTAGGGATTCTGTTTATCTCACAATACACAGAACCGCCCTCCACAACAATTATCTGGCCCAAAATGTCAATAGTGCCAAGACTAAGAAATCCTGAATTAATCTGTACCCTCATCTCTGCCACGTCTGCTTTGGCTAATACTGTAGAAAACCTCAGTCTTCAGGAGCCCCCAGTCTGCAGGCAGGGAAAGAGACTGATAAAAATCCTTGCCCTGCTGCCATCCTGGTGGACAGAAGAGTCCCTCGTGAATAACCTCATACTTGGCACACCTGGTCAGACACGGAATTTTCCCCCAATACAGCCTGCCCTGGGAAAAAAACTGGGTTTAATAAAGGGAACATTTTTTTTCCAGTCCCTATATCACAACAGAACCCAATTTACTCACCACTCCTGCTAGCTCCAAGGACAGCTCCTGGAAGTTCTTTAGCATATTGACTGGGATCCAGGCACGAGAAACTGTTTCTCCAAAAAATGTCACATGGTACTTAGACTGGAATAAAAGAGGGTCCTGTTATGGCCTCCTGTCCTACTACCTGCTTTTCTCCTCTAGCCAGAACAGGGCAGGGGAAAAACGGGAATTCACCCCGAAGGTGCGAGGCCTCAGATGCTCTCCAAAGCCAGATTACCTACCCTGCCCTCATTCCAGTTGTTCTTCCATTCTGACCTCAAGAATCCTAGCCAAAGCATATTTATCAAAACTATAACTACCCTGACCTTGGGTAAATACTTAATTAGATACAAGTTTCTTTCTATGTGTGAGTACTTATCTCTGTGTTTGTAATCCTAGTTAAGTATCTATTTTCACTCATGTCTTCTGGCTATTCTATGATTTTAATTTGTACATATGTTAGGATGGATTTGTTCACTGCTTTGACCTGAACTCCTATTTACCTTGAACTAGGAAACTTACTGGCAGGGAATCAAGATGAGAAGTAAAAAGAAAATATTCCCCCAGGTCAGGATCAGATTCTACCATGCCTGGCCACCTGTAGAAGACAGATGGTTATAGGGGACAGAAGATAAGGGGTTAGATGATAAGAACACAACCTCATCAATAAACCTGTATAGAAAACAGTAGTATGTGTTATAAAGGATCCAAAAAATAAATCTCCTCCCATCAGTCCCCTCCAGTGGCTGGTCACTACCAACTGACTGAACTGATTTCCATCAGTATAAAAAGGAGCTCAGAATATTCCTAGTAAAGGTATCTTCTCCTTCTGGATCTTCTTGCAACCCTAAGAACAAAATCTTCTAACTAGGTGCATCTTCAAAGAAGAAACTATCCCACCTTTCCTTGTTCTCTTTACTTTGTATGTCCTTCACATCTTAATATTTTTAAGTCCCTTAAATCTACCCTCCTCTTTCTGCCATTCAGGTAGCACTGTCAGACATTCTTTCCCAGGGAGATACCACCTCCACCCTAAACCCTCAGAAAGCATGCTCTTTCAATGCCTCCAAACTTGGTACGCTTCTCTTGCCCCGTGCTCTTTCTCAAGCAAGAACATTTTGACTACAGATATTTTCCATTTCTTCCCTCCCTGTTTGAAGCTGCCACTCCCAGGTTCATGAAGGATGCTCTGTGTCATGGTGCCCTACCAGGGGTAACCATATTGCTTGGCCCAGATGATGGATCCCGGGATGTAGGAAGCATAGGCCACATCACTTTCAAGCCCCGTCCAGGTCTCCTCAGGAATATCACAGCGATTATACTCTAAGTCTGCCAAAAGAGAGAAGGAATGAAGGGACAGGAAGAAACTCATAAGGTCAAAAATCTGGATGAGGCCTGGGAAGAGGACAAGAAGGAACTGGTATACGCAGCAGGTAGGACCAAAAGGGCAGCTGGGGGTGGGCATGAAGGAAGAATAAAGACTCATGGAGCAAATGTAGCTGGAGCTAGGAGAAGCAGGAGTGCTGCCTCCTTTTACTCTATAGAGAGAGATTCCACACTCCTGCTTACATCCCAGTGTCTGACTCTGTTCCTATCTATGAAACATCATGGGAGTAATTTTTCTAAGATTCTGTTTTCTCCTCTGTAAAATAATCAGGCTGAATTAGATCATCATAATTTCTTCCAAGTAGTTTCAAAAAGTCTGTAATGCGCCGGGCTTGGTGGCTCAGTCTGTAATCCCAGCACTTTAGGAAGCCGAGGTGAGTGGATCGCCTGAGCCCATGGGTTCAAGACCCGCCTGGGCAACTTGGCGAGACCTCATCTCTACAATAAATCAAAAATTAGCCGGGCGTGGTAGCGCGCGCCTGTAATTCCAGCTACTCAGAAGGCTGAGGCGAAAGGATCACCGGAGCCCAGAGGGTTGAGGCAGCGGTGGCCGGGAGCGTGCCACTGCACTCCAGTCTGGGTGACGGAGTGAAACTCCCACTCAAAAAAAAAAAGTCTGTAATGCTAAGCTCACTGGATCTCTTTCACCTGTTTTTCCTCATATAGACCATATCCTTCCCTATCCACCAACCCAATATCAATATTCTAATCAGGATTGACAGGAACACACCAATGCTGAAAAACATGGAATTTACTTAGCATACGCATTTAGATTCCAGGCCCCCCCAAAACATAACACTCCACAGGGTTTCTTCCCCCAGCCTCTTATGCCCAGACTCAACTCCTATGACAGGAAGATCCTTCCTGTCTCCCAAGCACTACAAGGACATCTTGAATACAAAATACATTTATGTAATTTAATCTGAAGGATACATGCAGGGAAAGAAAGTGGGGAACAATAAAACCTGAAAAAAATTTCCACTGCTTTCTACCTGTATTCTGGTCACAGGACCAATTGTCAGGGAGAATTGAGGGGTCAATGTTCCCACGTAGCTGCCTCCATTTCTCACAGTTTGGGGAGGAACACTGGACCCAGATCAGACACTGACCTGTGAGGGGGAAAAAAATGAAGTAAGAGACTCAAAAATATGCTTTTCCTTTTTCAGTCTAACTAAATCAATATAACCCACCCAACTCTCAAAATCGCAGAGCCACAGAGATCAACCAATCTAATTCCTGACTTGTAAACAGGAAAACCAAGGCTCAGACAAGGGAACGGATATGCTGAAGATCAGTCTAACTTGATGACAGAACTGAGCTTAGAACTCAAGTCTCACATCTTGATTTTTCTTCTATACCAGGATATCATCTCTTCCCCCTGCAAGGCAGAAAGGGGTGTTTCCTGCATTGGCAGTTCTTAAATAAAAAGGTTTCCTGGTATCCTTCAATATAGCGTCTCATTCTCTGCTGGCATGACACTACTAAAAAAAGTCTTCTGAAGGGCTAACCAGCATCTCTTTTGTGCACAACATACAGAGTTTTTATCCAGATCTCAACTGATCTGTCACCAAATTATCAAGTTGCAACCTTTGGGACCAACAGCCCAGAGTTCTCTCCCCCCTCAAAAGACACAGGTCTTAGTCTGTCATTCCTCCACCAACTATTAACTTCAGGCCCTGCTAAAAGGCCAAGCCTTCCTTTTACCCATTACCTTCCAAACTTCCATTCCCACCACTCCGCATCCCTATATCTTCTAAGCTGAGCCCATGTCCTACGCAGCCTCTCTTCTCTCCCACCCAAACCCTTCCACTATATTCTCTGAAACTCCACAGACTTGAGCAACAAAGGTCCACGTAAGCTTAACCTCATCTCTGAACCTCTACCTCCTTTTGAAGCCTGGAAGCCTCTAATGACACTGCTCTGCCTGGTCCCAAACTCACTCACAGTCCTGTAAGTGGAGTCTGTTCCTTCTAACATTTCCCATGTCTCTCAGGACAGAAGGTCAGGCCAGCATCATCCTTACTCCCGTTGCCACTACTCTCCTTTTCTTTTGTTTTTTTGAGTCAGAGCCTCACTCTGTCGCCCAGGCTGGAATGTAGTGGCATGCTCACAGCCACTGCAGCCTCGAACTGCCTTCCAAGTAGCTGGAACTACAGGCCCGGGCTACCATGCCCTGCTTTTTCTTTTTTTTTTTTAATTGTAGAAACGAGGTGTCACCAAGTTGCCAGGCTGGTCCCTGAGTTCAGGCAATCCTCTCACCTCTGGCTCCCAAAGTGCTGGGATTACAGGCTTGATCCACACGCCTGGCCTTCCCCTCCTTATAAAAACGCTTCTTCCTTTAAAGTCTATGCCATAGGACTATACCTCCCTCTTATTTCCCTTGTAAAGATGCTGGCATCTAGTTCAGTCTCCTCATCTCTACCTCCTGTCTTCATCCAGATGATTGCTACTTCCACAGGAATACCGCATAAAACATTCCATTCTTTTCGTTCCCTGACATTTCCCTCCATGCCACCTCAGTAACCCACTCCCCCTTCTGCATGCCCCACCCAGTCACCTACAGGCACTGCATACCCTCTGAGCCACTTACCTAAACATCCTGACACAAAAGCCCTGTCCTTCCACACCACTTGCTCAAAGACCCCTACAACAACTTTCGCTCTACCTAGCTCTCCAAGTCACTGACCCCTACTATCCTCTCCATCCGGCAGAAATTTCCATTCTTCACTCTGTACTTCTCAGGTTTTACTCCTGATGCTTCCTCGGATCATCTTGCCGACATTTTCAACTCCCTTTCCTACTGTCCTTCCTCCCACCCAGATGGCAAAATACCACCATGAATGAACCCACGCTCCACCTTTTCTGTGCCTACACTCGTGTAATTGAGAGTTGCTACAGAAAAATCACACAACAGGCACATAGGTATCACTATATATTCACTACTAACATTGTCAGTCAACATGTTTCTCTAGTAAGTTCATTCCTCCACTGCCAAATTTTACCTTAAATGCCCAAACATGAGGGATGGCCCCCAACCCAGCCCACCAAAATCACCCCTCAGAAAAGAAGCTGACTTACACTTGGGTCCTTTCAAAATATCACATATAAAGGACCACTTTCTCAATTACTTTATCTTGAAGAACAAAGTACTGGTTGGGAACGATAAATTAGTGTGAAATGACAGTTGCCAATGATAGTTTTGGATGTTTACAGAGGTAATCTAGCATGACGAGAGAAAATAAATGGGAGAGAGGCCAGGGATTATAAATGTTAATACAGATCAATAAAATAAATGGTTGGCTGTGAAAGTAACGAGTATTTATAAGAAAACGAGTAGGAAAAAATCACCCTAGTGATAAGGAACTGGATATACGTAACTTCAGAAGGAATTTCTGACTGCAACATGGTAGAGTGTCTTAACGTCTCCTTTCAAACAACCTAGAGGAGAATGTAATGTGCTCTGGAAAACTGTGTTGGATGCTCACAATGTGGCTCTACGATGACTGATATCAAAGACACAGGTTAACAGCATCTCATCAATCACTCATTCTTGAAACACTAGTTTCCTGGGTTCTGTGATACCCCATGCTCCTGTCCTCCCTTCATCTTTCTGGCAGCGCCCTCCTCAGTTTCCTTCGGGAGGGTCTCCTTATTCACCAGTCTCTCAATGTCAGTATCCCAAAGCCCAATAATAGGACTTCTCTCCCTTTGATATACTTAAAGTCCCCTGAGGCAACCTCACTGATTCCCATCATTTTGAAATCCATTTTCTTTTTCCTTTTCTTTTTTTTTTTTGAGTTGGAGTCTCACTCTGTCGCCCAGACTGGAGTGCAGTGGCCACTGCC